AGGAGGCAGGAGGAGGAGAAAGGAGGAGGAGAGAAAGTGGAAGAGAAAAGAGGGTCAGGAGGAGGAGGAGGAGAAGAGGGTCAGGAGGAGGAGAAAGGGGGAAGAAGAAAGAGGATCAGGAGGAGGAGGAGAAGAGGAGGCAGGAGGAGGAGAAAGGAGGAGGAGGAGAGAAAGAGGAAGAGAAAAGAAGGTCAGGAGGAGGAGGAGGAGATAGGAGAAAGGAGGAGAAGAGGAAGGCGGAGGAGGAAGAGAAAAGAGGGTCAGGAGGAGGAGAAAGGGGGAAGAAGAAAGAGGATCCGGAGGAGGAGAGGAGGAGAAAGGAGGAGGAGAAGAGAAAGGAGGAGGAAGAAGGAGAGAAAAGAGGATCCGGAGGAGGAGGAGACAGGAGGAGAAAGGACTTTGTCGGACCCCCCTCTTTCTCTCTAACTCTCTCTCTCTTTCCTTTTCTCTCTTTCTTTCTCTTTCCTTCTCTTTCTTTCTCTCTTTCCCTCTCTTTCTCTTTCCTTTTCTGTTTCTTTCTCTCCCTTTCTCTTTCCTTCTCTCTATCTCTCTCTTTCCTTCTCTCTCTCTTTCTTTTTTTTCCCTTCTCTCTTTCTCTGTCCTCTCTTTTCTCTCTCTCTCTCTCTTTCCTTCTCTCTTTTTCTCTCTTTCCTTCTTTCTCTCCCTTTTTCTCTTTCTTTCTCTTTCCTTCTGTCTCTCTTTCCTTCTTTCTTTCTCTTTCCTTCTCTCTCTTTCCTTCTCTCTTTTTCTCTTTCTCTTTCCTTCTCTTTCTTTCCTCCTTTCTCTCCCTTTTTCTCTTTCTTTCTCTTTCCGTCTGTCTCTCTTTCCTTCTTTCTTTCTCTTTCCTTCTCTCTCTTTCTCTTTCCTTCTCTCTTTTTCTCTCTTTCTCTTTCCTTCTCTTTCTTTCCTTCTTTCTCTCTTTCTGTTTCCTTCTCTTTCTTTCCTTCTCTTTCTCTCCCTTTCTCTCTTTCTCTTTCCTTCTGTCCCTCTTTCTATCTCTCTTTCTTTCTCTCTCTCTTTCTCTCTCTCTCTTTCTTCCCCCCCCAGGTTGTACTACCTCCAAACCTGACTCGTTCTCCCCGATGGAAGGTGGGGCCCCTTTAAGTGGCGAGCCCCGAGGACACCCTGGTGAAGCAGAGGACATCCCGCAAGACAGAGCAGGTAATTTGCAGCGGAATCCGTCCCCGCAGGCAACAGTTCCAAAAGCATTCCCAAATGCTTTGTTTCTTTATCCTTCATCCGTAGAAGCTGCGGTCCTCTTGCCAACATCCACCCCAGCTGAGATGGAGCCTGGAAACCCTGGTCAGTTCAGTCCCTCACCGGGGTCATCGGAGGAGGGCGTGTCACCCTCCTCAGAGGAAGGCTTGGTGCAAGTGGACGGCCAGACGGCCGCACTGCAACAGTCCGCCGAGACGGCAGGAGACGTCGCAAATTTCACCACCATTGTCGTCCAGGAAGGGGTACTTCCCGGCGAAGCGCCCTACGTGTGTCCCGACTGTGGCAGGAGCTTCCTGTACGAGGAGCAGTGTGCCTTGCACCAGCAGTCCCACCTCCGAGTCTCTCCAGTCTCTCCGGGCGACGGTCCCGCACAACGTCCCCAGCCAGAGGTCAGGGCGTATACCTGTCCGGATTGCGGGCGCTGGTTCCCCCATCAGGCCAGCCTGAGCAAACACCGCCTCTGGCACACCGGCGAGCGGCCGCACACCTGCGCCGAGTGCAAGAAGACGTTCCGGCTGAAGATCAACCTGCACCTTCACGAGCGTACCCACGCGGTCGCCAAAAAGCCTGGCTACTACATCTGCGGGCAGTGCGGCCGGACGTTCAACCACCACTCGAATTTTTTGCGGCACCAGATGATCCACACCGGGGAGCGGCCGTACGCCTGCGGGGAGTGCGGGAAGACGTTCATCCGTAAGGAGCACCTGGCCACCCACGGGCGGCTACACACGGGCGAGCGGCCCTACCGGTGCCCGCTCTGCCCGAAGAGCTTCACGCGCAAGCAGCACCTGGTGGGACACCAGCGCCTGCACGAGGGGGAGGCAATCTGGCTGGAGGATCACCCCACTCAGAGGGACGGGCATGGCCAACCGGGTGGCGTCGGACTTCAGGCAGACCCCATCGAGCCCATACTCGGACAAGAGACGTATCCCCCGTAATCACGCAGCAGATCCCGGGGAAGAACCAGACGAAGGGGTGCTGGCCCGGGACGCGTTTGGGCAGCCATCTTGAAGCAATCACAGGGCCATCCTCAGTTCTGTCCTTTATCTCCACAGCTGGAGGCAAAAGGCAGGATCCGCTAACCTTAAGATCTATGGGGATAACTGAGTGGGAAGGGGCGTTGAAGGTCTTCTAGTCCACCCCGCTGCTCAGGCGGGAAACCCTAGAGCCCCTAAACCATTCCAGACAAACGACTGTCCAATCTTTTCTCATCTGAAGTCTGACCTGATTGATTCCTGGGACTTTGCTGGGACCAAGGAGCAGGGTGGGTCAAAAATTCAAAATGGCAGCCGGCACAATCCTGGTTTTTTTTCTCCTTCCCTTGCAAGGAGGCTTTTGACTCTGGGGAGGGGGGGTGTCAAGTTTTATTCTCTGTTTTCATCCCGGCATGACTTTTCTCTGTGGGAGGGAGGGACCTGTGGAATTCTGGGAGTTGAATTTCACCCATCTTAAAGTTGCCTCATGTGAGGCCTGAACGATCCAGGACCACCTGTTAATTTCCAGGGAAAGTGATCCATTGCGTGGGCCGTGGGCAGATAGTCCTCGACGTATGCCCCAAATTTCCGTCGCTAAGCGAAACAACGGTTAAGGGAGTTTTGCCCCATTTGACCACCTTTCCTGCCCCATCTGTTAAGGTAGCCACACGATCGGGCTATCCCCTTGACTCAGACGGTCGTAAAAGGGGACCGTGTCACCCACGACACGGCAACCGTCATAAATGCTAGTCAGTTGCCAAGCCTCTGAATTTTGATCACGTGACCCCGGGACGCGGCGACCATCATAAATACGAGTTAGTTGCCAAGCCTCTGAACTTTGATGACGTGCTCCTGCGGATACCGCAACGGTCCTTAAGCGAGAAAAACAGCCCGAAGTCACCTTTCAGTGAGGTTGTAATTTGGAACGGTCACTAAATGAACGATCACTAAATGAGGACTCCCAGCACTGTACGTAGTTGTACATTGTCCAGAGTGTTTCTATGAAGGAGAGGGTCAGTTCCTAATTATGATATATGAAGAAAATGAAATAAAACGGTTAAATAAGATTAGATCTCGCAAATACTGTATTACAAACAATCCTTTTAGCGCGGTGGGCCAGAGTTCCTCAATTTTTCGGGATTGGCGGCCCGGAGGGTGGGAAGGGGGAAACGGAGGGATGGCTTTGTTGGCCGTGAATGCGTGCGTGCGCACGAACACCAGTTACTTGCACAAGTTGGGTGCAAATGCCCGTGACATGACAACAATTAGGTGAGCGGGCCGTGAATGCCTGCAACCCTTGCGGCGACGCTTGTGCGTGTGGCGCCATGAACGCAGGCGACGCTTGCAGCGAGAGTTGTGCGATTGGGGCCGTGAATGCCCGCAACGCTCATGTGACACTTGTGCAAGTGGGGTCGTGAACACCTGCTGCGTTTGTGGTGCACACTCGTGCGAGTGAGGCTGTGAATGCCCACCATCCTTGCAGCAACGCTCAAGCGAGTGGGAGCACGACTGTTTGTGCCGCTTGCGGCGACAATCGTGCGGCTGGGTCCGTGAGTGCCACAAACGGGGCCGCAGACGGCTGCAACACTCTCAGTGACGCTCGTGCACGTGGGCCCACAAACACCCGCAACGCTCACAGAAGGGGGTCCACGAATGCCTGGGACGCTCGTGGACACACTCGCGCAAGTGCCGCCGCAAACGCCCGTGATGCNATTAATCGTGGTTATGAGACGGACAAATGTGCAGGTCAGTTCCCACCCACGAAGAGGCAGCCGAGCCGGGAAGTTGCTCCCTTGCGGTTGCGTGGATTCCTGCCCCCCCCCCAGATCCGGTGGAGCCTCACAAGAGACAGGGACCCACAACGTGCTGTGCTCGGTTAAACGTACATGTCTTAGCTGCAACGGTCTTTGACGAAGCAGAAGGGAAGAATATCCAGAGATGTGGACTTTGATGTACTGCGTGGACAATCCGGAAAACAAATTCATGGATCATTGAACAATAAAATCCAATAAAATCCTTAAGGAACCACGCGTGACCGGGTTAAAATTGTCCGATTTCGGACACACGAATCGATTTTCGTGGTATAGCGTGGAAGGTACCGATAAGTCCTCGACTTAACGACCAACAAATGAGCCCCAAATTTCTGTTCCAAAGCGAGACATGTCTTTAGTGACTTTTGCCTCGTTTTACAACCTTCCTTGCCACGGTCGTTAAGCGAATCGCTGCAGACGTTAAGTGAGTCACACTGTCAAGTGAATCGGGATTCCCTGGTTGACTTTGCCGGTCAGGCGGTCGCCAATGGGAATCACGGGACCCCCCCCAAGACACTGCGACCGTCATAAATGCGAGTCAGTGGCTATCTGAGTTTTGATTGGGATCATGGGTCGTCAGAGTGAAAAAACAGTCGTGAGCCGAATCAGTGCCACCGTCTCTTTGAACGGATGCTAAACGAACGGTTGTAAGCCGAGGGCGGCGGCGTAGTTATTGGAGGATTTGCAGCCTGTAGGAAAAGCAAATTTGCCCTTTTGCAGCTTCACAGGAAACGCAGCTTCTCTCCAGTCCTCCCCTCCTGCAATTCCACCTCCGAACGGAGGCGGCGCTGCAGGCGGCAGCCGGAGAGGTCGTCCTTCCTCGCTGTACTCCGCTCTTCCGCCTAAGAGGACAGCTTCCAGTGAAACCGCACCGACGCTTCCGGCTCCACCTTGACAAAGAGAAGAGGGGCTCAAAGCAATTAGCCCCCCCCATCCCCAGCCGGCTTCATACCCTACATTTATCAAATTTAATACTAATTTGAGTGCCAATCTAATATTTATGGACTGAATAAAAGAATTAAATTGAACCTTTTAAATTCAATGTAATATTATGTTTGTACTATATTCAGAATCTATTCAATATAATACATACAATGGAATGATATTGAATACTGTTTAAAGATGAATGCAAGTACATCAATACATTAAATTGGATAAAAATAAAATAATATCTTCCATTTTTAATTTACATGATTATACAAAGTGCATTACCTCTATATAATCATTATATAATTTATATTATATAATTATATTATGACATTATTGTATTATTACCAATAATAAATGAGCAATAAAGCATAATAAAATAATATATAATTTATTGTATGATATTATTATACAACAATATCATATAATATGATACTATAATAATAAATAGTATGCATAGTATGAATGCATATTAATTGATCATTAAATGATTAAATATGCATACTATTTAATACTATATTATTGATGATTAAGTATGCATATTCATTTATTAAATTAAATGATTAAATATGCATACTATAATACTATATTATTGATTATGCATGCATATTCATTAAATTAAATGAGTAAATATGCAGATTATTCATTTAATACTATATTATTGATTATGCATGCATATTGATTTATTAAATTAAATGATTAAATATGCAGATTCATTTAATACTATATGATTATGCATATTCATTAAATTGTTAAATATGCATATTCATTTAATACTATTATTGATGATTAAGTATGCATATTCATTTAATAAATTATGAAATATGCATATTATTCATTTAATACTATATTATTGATTGTATGCATATTCATTTATTAAATTAAATTATGAAATATGCATATTATTCATTTAATACTATATTATAGATGGCTAAGTATGCATATTCATTTATTAAATTATGAAATATGCATGTTATTCATTTAATACTATATTATTTATGATTAAGTATGCATATTTGTTTATTAAATTATGAAATATGCATATTATTCATTTAATACTATATTGATGATTAAGTATGCATATTCATTTATTAAATTATGAAATATGCATATTATTCATTTAACGCTATATTATTGATGATTAAACATGCATATTCGTTTATTAAATTAAATGATTAAATATGTATATTCATTTAATACTATATTATAGATGGCTAAGTATGCATAATCATTTATTAAATTGTTAAATATGCATATTATTCATTTAATACTATATTGATGATTAAGCATGCATATTCGTTTATTAAATTAAATTATTAAATATGTATATTTAATACTATATTATTGATGATTAAGTATGCATATTCATTTATTAAATTATTAAATATGCACATTCTTCGTTTGATACTATATTATTGATGATTAAGTGTGCATATTTATTAAATTAAATTATTAAATATGTGTATTCATTGAATAATACTATTCTTTGATTTATGATTGCATGCTATTCCTTTATTAAATTAAGTTATTAAAGATGCCTAATTCCCTTACTACTCTTCTTTACTCTTAAATTGAATGACGATTTTGCGTAACATTCATTTATTCAACGGTTCAATATGGTTGATCATATTTTTGGGGAATAAAATGAATAATGTGCATACCACTGAATAATTGCTTCCCGGAATACTAAGCCGAATGATGATTAAAACCTGAATAATGCTACGATTTGCTTTCCTTTTATATTGATTTCCTTTTGTTTTTTTTATTTCATCCTCCCCGTTATTCGTCGATTATTAAACGGAGTTCCTATCCAATATTTTATTTGAGCAATTTAGACTGCTCTGACATTTCAATGTTTTGGTAAGGGGTTTTTATAGGGAGTCTTTTAGAGCAGGCTTTTTATTTAATATTTATCGTGATTTTTTATTATCGCCTGTTCACCGCCCTGAGTCCCGTAAGGGAGATAGGGCGGTATATAAATTTAAATAATAAATAAATAAATAAATAAATTAAATAAATAAAATAAAATAAAATAAAATAAAATAAAATAATAAATAAAATAAAATAAAATAAAATAAAATAAAATAAAATAAAATAATAAAATAAAATAAAATAAAATAAAATAAAATAAAATAATAAAATAAAATAAAATAAAATAAAATTAAAATAAATAAATTCAGTGCTGCATTCAACACTAGTTCCCTTTCAATGTGAAAATTCCCCATC